GCCTCTAGAAACCATTTCCTTCACCTTCTAAAAATTTTCCTCCAGAAAGCTTCTGAGACTTTTCTTGACAAAACAGACAGTTTACAATGTCTGAAAGGTTTTTTATGGCATGCTATGAACAAAATTTAAATACCAGTGCCAAGAATTAGAATGATTTACATCATTCTCTCCAGGGTAGGGCATACTCTATTCTACACTCAGAGGTTCCTGATGTCCCCCATGGTGCTGAGCTGCATTTATTGCTATAAATTAAAAAGTTTCAGCTTCAAATCTCTGAAGCTCTTGAAACAGGGTAGGCTTGGTGGTGGGGAGATGGAGGTATGTATTCAAGTCCTGAGGGTATCAACTGCATGGTGCAGCCATTCATCTCTGAAGTGACAGCCACAGCAAGAGGAGAATGCTCGACATGGTGCCTTCTCAGTGTAAGCAGAAGGTCTTGGGACCTGTTTTCAACTGCATCTCCGTAGATGTGGAGCCACAGAAGTTAATGTTTTGCACATTGTCTCAGAGGTCAGCATGGCAATACTAAGCCAGTGATTAGGCCAGTCAGACACTCAACCTGTCGCCATCAATTTAATGAATTACAAATCAAAGCATGTTCACAGCTCACGACATAATTCAGATACTTTGCCATCTCTTACCAGGACTACCCAAACCCAGATGTTCAGGAAAGTTTTGCCCAGACTCCACCGAAGTCCCAGGACAATCCTGAAGGAGAGCCATTATTTATTTTTCTTCCAGAGACAGATTTCCCTGCACTGCACTGCTTTCCAATGGCAAAAGCAATCCTTCCAGGACCCAGAACAGATGGAGCCAGGGCAGGATTTTTTTTCTGGGCAGACTAGGGTAAAACTACCCCAAAGATAACCACAAAAATTAGTGGACCAGACTGTTTTCCAATGTCACACCAAAACACTTTGTTCTCTATAAAAGGGGGCATATGCTAAAAGAACAAAACACTTCCTCATTATTGTAAACAAAATCTGTAAACTGCAACTTTTAACTTATATTTTCTGAGAAGTTGTTTTAACTACTGTAGGCAAAGTTTTCATATGGCTCCTGCAGCATCTAAGGGAGATGTCCATAAGCAACATTCCCACCAAACAAGGGTCTCCTATTGGCAAATAAAAGCTGAAATTTCAGTGCATGAAACATTTTATAAGCTTCTCTAACAATAACCTTGTTTAGAAAGCATTAAAAATTAGTGGAAATACAGAGCACAGGTTTTCTATACTTTCTCCCACCCCAAGGATTAAGAAATCAGCATCTGCCACAGCACTGTGTACGTGTCTAAAAAACCGATCACAGACGGCAGATATAATCCGAGGCTTACTTTGCACTCTCAATGCTGCTTTTAATCTAAGGCGTTGCACTTTTGGGTTAAGATAAAGCCTTAATACTGGACGTCTACATCCTGTTCTCTCAACCAGAAGTGAGGAAGTAGCTTCTGGCCAAATAAGGACACCTTCCAAGCCCTGCAGAACACAGCATGGGTTTTACTACTATGACAAAACTACAAGGAGTTTGGTCTAATTAAATTCAACGCTCTGTTTTCTCAGTTATAGCAGAAATGATTCTTAAAGCAAAAAGTAATTTTTGTCAGAAGAGTAGCAAAAACATAGGCCTCTGAAGACATTCTTGCTGGGCTACCAGTCACCCAAATTCAAAAGCAGCTGTCACAGACTTTGGTGGCCTCTAGTGGCTGCTTTTCCCACATCCCAAACTCGTCACATGATTTGGCTCCTAAGACTGCATCTGCTCCACCTCCCATCTATGTCTGCTGGATCCCTCCACAAGTGGCAGTAGCATGAGATGATGATACTGAGAGGTGCAGCAGATGAAAGATAAGGTAGGAGTTGTTACAAACATCCAAGATGCCACTTATCAATATCTACCTGTCCCTAACACTTACAGTAGATTTAGTCACCTGACAGGTACACATGGTGGCAAGATAGCTCTGGTTCTTAAAATTATATTTTTTTCATTGATTTTTTAATACAATTTCTTTTTAAACTACAGTTTAAGCTATGATGCCTAACAATAAAGTCAAGAACAAGATGTGTGTTCATGAAAGACCAACCTTCACTTAACATTTTCATTCAAATAGTTTGAGGATTTACAAGTTACAAATGCAGGTTTTTAAGAGTTACTTAAGTAGTTCAATAGTTCTTCAAAAGCACCAATCTGTATGTTCAGTTGAACTGAGTACAGAGCTCATGGGATCTGTAGTCAGACCCTCCACCATGTATCAAATAAAACCCCTGGGAAAGTAACATTCATGGTAAAAGTTTTCCAAAAACAGCCTAACTTTTCCTAAGTTGGGTACAGTCCTTGGGTTCCACCATATCACTGAGATCCTTAATAGAGCAGTGTGGAGGCTCATCTTCAGACTGGATGAAATTTTACTCTTTCGGTATCAGTGACTCTGAAATCTACCAAGGCTTTAAAAGTTCTTTAGCTGAAAAGCGTGGAAACACTGGAGTAGCAAACCACCAGGCCACACCAGACACTGCCCAGCACAGCCCTTGATGTTCTCCAAGTTCATGGTTACCCTCTCAAGCTGGAAAGAGCTACTCAGAGGATAAAAAACGCTGCACAAGCATTACAGCAAACAAGCCTCACCTTCTCAAAAGGGAGGGCCAATGAGGTTTCTCAAGCTGACAGGTGAGAAACTCAATCCTGAACTCCTGATAATTTTGCACAAGCTCCAGCTCCAGTCTGAGTTACACGCCATTCCTCTGCAGCCTAAGCAGATTTCCTGTCTCTGTGTTCACTGGTTTAAGTGAATATCCCCAAATAAAACACTGTATTTGTCTTTGACCAGTATCTCGCTGATGCTGCTGGACTGATGCAATTTACATGCCTCCATTTTTGTAACAGACTATTCAAGCACAGTTTTAATTTGATACTCTTTATTATGATATCCAGGAAAACAATAACAAGGTGATTGCTTATTACAGCTTCCATAGACTGGGGCTCCAGACCTTATTGTCCTGGCTGGGTACATACACGCACGCACACACACACAAAAGACAACCCTTGCCACATGAACTTACAATCTAAATAAACAAAACAAATATAATGATTAATCAAGAAACAAAGAGGAGGAATCACCCATGTGAGAACACAAGTTAAGTTTTGGCTTGATTTCTAGTCTGGAGTTCAAGAGTCAAAATTTCTACCCTGTTACAGTATTCTTATTACCATGGGCTGAATTTTTATCTGTTGATTACAACGCAAAAGATAATCTTTGATATTTATAGCCAATATATGGAGACACAAAGCTCAAGTTCTAGACCATGATTTGTCAACTGCTATGCAGCAAAACTACAGTCTAGAGATTCGGAGACCTTAAGTGTCCAGTTTCTTAAATGAGAAAGGCAGTAAGAGTGAACTGCAACATGCAAAGGAAAAACATTCAGGAATATGAATTTCTGCAAAACCAGTCAAGACTAATATTTTTTCTTTTTCAATTCAGTGTATCAAATTGTTCAACACTCTTGTGTGTGGAATGAAGAAGTAACAACTGTGTTGTGCTGCATGACAATGCCTGATCTCTAATATTAACCACAATAAATACAGACAAAGAATGAATACTGAAAGGCTATTGAATTATAAAGCTACACTCTAGCTGCTCTGATTCTGCAAAAAGTTTCAAACACAAAAAGAAGAAAAAGGAGTTGTCATTTCTGGCACTCACATCATATATTTGCCATCCTTTAGCAGGATAAAACTGAAGTATTTGCAGAAACCTAAAACAAAAATGACAGGACACATAGAGATCAAGTGTATTGGATTCAAAACTAGGCTGTTTTTTTTTTTTAAACCAGAAATAGGAGTTGTTGCCTTTTGAATTGGCAACATCAAAAGAACTTTTTTCTAAAAGCTAGAAAACAGTCTACTGCTGCTAGAGCCCAGCACTCCTCACCCATTGCTCACCAAAGGGAACTGACAGTGGCAGATGCTAAAAGCAGTTCCATTTCATCCACAATGGCACTTGCTCTGGATGTGAGCTATATCCAGTATAAGTTGTATTGCAATGTATTCATACTAAAGAGTTTCAGTTCCCATTAAGGAGGTTCTGATGACACGCAGCATATTGATGTGCTTATTTCTTGCAAGTCTGATCCAGAAACAGTCCAGCCCTGCTCCTATTTTAGTTCTGAAGAGTATGCAAAATTCCTTAATGTGTTAAGATCTAGGCTTATCAGACCCAAAACTGTGTAGTTCAGGGAACAGTGTGAAGAGGGGATACTCATTAAACATCCACCACAACAACCTACAGTATATAAAACAACCCCACCAGCAAGCCAACAAGCATGGGCTAATCCAGTGCTTCAAAGATAATCCACAGCTAACAACTTAAGAAATTCAAATATGATGAACAGATGATAATTGACGTCAGTCCTTTGAAGTCTCATTCCTTTTAAAGGACCTTCTAAATATTCCCCAAACCTTCATTTTGTAGGACATCCTTATACCCTGCACACCAGAAGTAACCTAAATATTTGCACAACAAGATGACTATTGCTACAGCCTGCGGGCATTAAACCACAGCCCCCCCTCCCTGGAACGCAGGATCTGTGCACAGGCTCTCACCAGCCTGCAAATGTTATAAGCATCACGACGTCTCTCCTTTGTGTTCAAGTCCCTTCAATACTGACCTTTTACAGAGAGAACAATTAGGACAGCAGTGACCAACACTGCATAGGAAGCCTATTCAAGCTGCCAGTCTCCATCATTTATAACACAGGCCCGAAGGGCTGAGTCACAAATGGAACCAAACCCAAGTATGACCTAGGAATCAGCCGGTGAACTTCCTGAAAACAGGAAAACAAAATAAGAGAAACCAAACAACCCTCCCTCTCGTGTACCAAGACAGGCATACTGTGCAATTTTTGCAAAACTGTCTGGAGTATTTACTTCAATACATGAAGGGTTTGATCCAGGACAATCTACATTTTCAAAATTCCAATTTCTACATCACCAGCATCATTCCGCACTGCTTGGAAACCCTGATGGCAGTTAATAGGTATCTCAGTACAGTAAAGCACAATAAATATTTCCCCTTTCCCCACAATATCCAACAAAAATCCATTAATACTTAATGGATTTGGCATGTAGGAGCTATCAGAGACCAATCTCCCTTCTGGTACTGATGACTGGAAGCCTTTCAAGGAGATCTCCCAACTCATACTGCAGTCTAGTGTAATTTTTAAGCGACATGTCAATAGAAGGGGTAGCTGCCTTAGAACTTGAATTCATCTTTTCCCTGCATCCTTTCTTCTTGCTTATACATAACTACTTGTTAGCCTCTGGGATTACCATCACACAACTAATCCAATGGAAAAAAACCCAAGCAAACACCTGCACCAGCTCCCTGATCCCTGTGCAACCAGAAAGGCTTGTGCTAGCCAAGGCAAGGGACAGAACCCCAATTTTGGCATCAACCTACATTACTTTCAGCTTAGCATGACCATGAAAATGCTCCCTTCAATATCAAGTGTTGCCACCAACAAAATTCTCTCAGGAGCAGTTAGTCAGAAGTCTTCAAAGAACAAAAGGACTGCATATGTGTATTGACCCTTTTTACAGCAGTAAACTACTTGTACCGGAGTAGCGCACTGCTTATTACAATTCTGGCTAATATAACTCTATAAACACAACTAAAACTTTCAAAGAAAAAAAGCATTTAGGAAAAACATAAAATGTTTACAAATAACTGATTTTCTACATGCATCATCCCAACATACTTAATCTACCACCAGCATAATCTAATGTTAGCAGAAATAGCCTATGCATTTTCTCTGCTTGGCAAATTCTTTCATAATTCCTAATTTTGGGCGTGAGATCACCAGGAAAGCAGTATTTCCAAAGAGTATTTCCACATTCATCAGTAATTCACATAGGAGAAATTGGTCTTTGCAAACTAGTCAAAGTGTCCAGATGAAAACTAAAACTCTGAAAATTATTTTCAGCTGGTCTGAGTTCCTTGCTTGTACTTTGAAGTTCAATATAATCACTTTAAAAGTAAAATAATAGTTTTGATAGCAGATTCTGGCACAGAAACCAAACACACATTTGGGGGGCAAAAAAGGGTTTAAATCATCTGTTGTTAAATCTTGAAAAGTTCTGACAAGATAGGGCTAAAGGAAGTGGGTTTAAGAAAAAAACCAAACCCAACAAACCCTATCCACTGTCTGCATAATTATTTAATTTAAATCCATCTATATGGACAAAGCTTTCTCTTCACAGGAGCTGTCAATTGATCAGGATAAATTACTACAGCCTAGGCAAAAATTATTTTATTAGGCATAGGAATAAAATTATTAACTCTTCAGCCATTTCCATTTTTCCTGACTCCATAGTTAAGCAAACATGATTAGACTTCCATTTTACTGAATCCCAGATTACAAGCAAAGAGCCAAAAATGCAATAACATTTAAAAACCAGTTTTAAGCAATTAAAAAGAAATTATCCAGCCAAACAATAACCTTATGCTAAAACAAGTAATATCGAACTGGAAACAGAAGTATCAAAATCTTTTAAGTTCATGAGTATTTCCATCCCAAGGTAGAAAATAAAAAATCACTTCTTTTGCCTCAAACATAATAAATATGTCTTTTTAGTTATGACACAAAAGGCAGAAGATACTGGCTTCCAATACTCTACCCAAATTTTAGAACAACTGTTATTATTCTATATTACTTGGCAGACAGCGACAACTCCTATAAGGCAAGGATGAAGATTAAGCCATTGTGGAAACAAAAGTGCTTTTGTTAAAGTCCAAAGGCCAAGAATTTCTGTCCATAAGGCCAAAAGGAGACAAAAAGCAATGTCAGTATTAACAGTCAAGAATATATTCTTTCGAAGTTTTTGGAAATTAACCTGAAGTTTACATTTCAAGACCACTGTGAACGAGGTTTACAAGAAACAGTTTGCCTTAGGGAAACAACTATTACAACCCTCAGACTCCTATAAGTCTTAAAGATCTCAAGAAGTACCTTAGATGTTCCCTTCATAATTTGTTCCTCCACCCATTATTCTGAGAGTCCCAGTACAACTGGGTATCACAACCAAACTGATTTAGAGTCAAAGTACCAGACTAGACATTTAAAATTTCCCCCCTGGCTTAAGGTACAAGTTGAGAGCAAGGCACACAGAATTTATGAAGGTCTTTCTAGAAACATAAGACTAGAAATGTGATTTTGGGCAGCAAGTATATAATACACACAATTCTCTCAAAATTTCTGATTTCCAGTTTTCCAGTTTCATGGTCACATCAGACAGATTCAGAGTTCCACCACTTCAAATCAAGACATGGCACAGGTACTTCTGCTGAAGCACACTGGGCATATTACAGGGCATGCTGCCCCAGAGTTCTCAAGCTAAGCAAGTATAAGTCTGCCAAGTCCACTGCAGGAGCTGTGAACCAAATACTTGGGAAGTGTGACTGTAATTAGCAGAGACATATAATAAATTATACTGCAATAACTCTAAATAGCACTAAACAATTGAAGAATGGATAGTTACTTGTAGAGAAGATTTTGTACTAGAAATGTTTATTCTGAATAGTAAGCAACTGAACTGTAGAAGATACAGAATGCAGATTTATTACTCTGTTGGGTATAAACTCAATTATAATAACAGGTTTTAATTAAAATTATTTTATTTATCAGCTTGATTGCTCATAATTATCCTCAATCAATAAGCAGTTCAATACTTTGGTTAACGTGATAGACTAATTTAGCAACTTCTTCTTAAGACTGAAATAAATCTCTCACTCGTTCTCACGTGCAATGGGTTGAATTATATCCATTACAAAAGCATACAAAGGAAACATTATCTGCATATTAAACTGGAAAACTAACCGGACAAAGCTTCACATTGAATACAATTTTGAAAGATAATGGAAGAATTCCTAAATTGAGATTTTTCCAGTTGTAGCAAAGGGCACAATAAATCAGTTTTAAGAAGTTGTAGCTTCTAAATATTTTTTTCATAAAAACATATATAGGAGAAACCAAACTATTTCCTAAAAGAGGTGAAACAAAGCAAAGCAGTTAGAATAAAGGAATGTTTCTCATAACTTGATCCATTTATTTAATTCCCTCTTCACGGAGCATTAACTGCCTCCCAAAACAAACACAACACATTGTAAGAAGAACCTCCACCCTCTAAAATCGGACAGACAAGTTTTTAAAGAACGTCCAACGCACACTAATTCTCCAAGATACATACACTTTAAAAGCACACACAGAAGTGAACAGTGCTACTCAAATCAACTCTTCCTATGATCACACACGCTCCCTTCTAATTTTCAAGTGCTAAAAGCTATATCTCAAAAAGGTTTTTTGTTCCTTGTATGAGATTTCTAACCAACAAACAATAAGACTCTGCAACATTTCCGATTATTTCAGTTTTGTTTTAATGATATGGGGCAATTCTAAGAGCAGACGTTGTGCAGCTAGTAACTACAAAATAAAAGAGGGCCATTGGTATGGTCTTGGAATCCCAATTTGAAATGTAAATTTGAGTCAAGGTAATTAACTGAAAAGCCAGAGTATCTGAAAATTCTTACTAAGTTTTTACTTCAAGTTTTCAATACTTCTTGAGGAACTTGGAAAAAGTGAAGTTGGTAGAACATCATATATCACCCAGATTACAAAAACTGGAGGGAAATAATACATTGCAACAGTGATCCTCATTAAGTAAGTTATTTCATCACAGTAAATGTTTAAAAAAGCGTCAATGTTTTTTAAAAAGTGTTGAATCCTCCCCTCAATTATTTGAAGAGAGATAAACCTTTTTCTTTAGTCAAAATGGCTTTTTAAAAAAAGTTTCTCAAAACAACATCAATAATCAAAAAACATGAATTGTATTTTCCTTAATCCACAATATCTCTAGTGCTGAAGAGCCATCCATGTAAAAAGCAGATTCTTTGGGGACATTAGTCAATTAACTTAATAAACCCCAGTTTTACGAGGATTTATCCTTCCTGCTGCGAGGTGAGTCTGCTCCATTTGAGGTCACTGTTCCATTTATTCCGTTTTCTACAAAACAAGAAAACATTTTTCAAACACAATGAGATGCTTTATATTTTTTTACATTTTTCTAGGTCCTATACAAACAGTCTTTTATCTTCTTTTCTGATGTATCTTCTTCATTAAACCTCATAATTATCATCAAAATGCAAGAGTATAACAAAGTTTTTACAAAGTGCAAAATTTGAAGTTTGTTACAATAAATTCTGGTTTGCTGATGTGGCCAGACACTGAAATATGTGCACTATATACACCTAGACTGAAAAATCAAGACCAGTTATAGTATTTTAGAAGATAATCGGTGAAAAAGTAAAACACAACCTGTGTTCTGTGAAATTTTGTAGACACACAGTATATACACAATTCCCTTGTATAGGTCTTAATTATTTGTCCCATCTATTTCATACTATAATTCTTGCTAAAATTACACACTCCTTCATTTACAAGTATTTCATACATACAGGAAAGACTTTACCTAAACAAGCACATACAATTTTTAAAGCATATACTTTAAAAGATGGACAGAAGGAAAACACTGAAAGTTCAGATTTGCAAAGAGTATGTGTACATGGAAAGAGTACTTGAAATAGGTGGGACAAAAAAGTGTTTAAACAGTTCCATTACATATATTACTCTTTGAAAAACACAGCTTTGCTGCATCCTGTGCAAGTGTTCTGAACAGATAACATTACAGAAAAACTCAAACCAGAAGAATATGAAAGAACAGAGTTTTCTTTCTATTTAAAAAAAAAAATATCTTCAGTCTTCAAGACAGGTATAGCTCAATTATTTTGTGAATTAAACGACAACTCCAATTAACTGACTTTTTTACTCTTCGTTTATCACTTGCAAGTGTCCATTGAAGATGGATGAAACCCAGCAAGTTCACCAAATTATATGAATGAAATAGATTATGAGATTTTAAAAAGGTACTGCCTTTTTGACTCAATGATTAAAACATCATTTAATTTTATATTTTAAAATTATTTGACATAGAAGATTTCAATTAAATTAAAGAAACACCATAGTGATTATGCAGTGAACATGAAGCTCTGATTAAATAGGATACTTCTGATTAAATAGGACACTTTTACATAGGAAACTACCTTCACTCAATTATAAAAAAAAATCCCCTTGAATTTTCTCATGAAAACAAAAAACTAACACCACACAAAAGCCAAGTTATGATAATTACAAATCATCTAAAGGGAGTACAGCAATAATCTAAAGCATATCATTTTAATAAAAAAGAAACTTAGGGGAAATAAAAAAAAAAATTGTGGATCTCCCACCACAAATCTCAGTTCTTGATGCAAATGGTCTTCGCATACACTATGTTCAATATATCAAAAAGTGGAACAGGTTGGTAATATATGATTGGGAGCAAAGGATTGTGTCGAAAAAAAGCTTTTGAAACAACTTCAGCAGTTTCAAAAAAGTCCAGAAGTTATTCAAGCTAGCAGTTAAGTACACAGAAGCTTAACTGTTGGTACAACAGAAATACTGAAGTATGGGGATACTTTATTTTTAAAAGAGAACATGATTTTTCTTGGAGGAAAGAGCATTCAGTTCATCTTTCATGCCCTTTCTATAAAAAGAGTGTGACATAATCAAAAAGTGAAACCTGGAGTCATCAGTACATTTCCAAATGCTTCAACAAAGGTTTAGACTAGTAAGTAGTTACTACCTCCCCTTAGACAACTATCAAATTCTACTTTTTGTAAAAACAGTCCAACACAAGACTATTTACTGAGTGGATCATCGAACCATCTCTTTGCCCTAAAACCTTGGAATTTTGTGGCAATAAACAACAAGCTTGAAATCCATTGCAAGAAAATTTTACAAGTAATTGTTTATGAGAACAGATCTAAAATAGTTTCTGTTCCCTTTTTATAAAGGAACAAAACATAAGCATGACATATTTTGTTTAAATACTGAAATTAAAGGTATCATGAAATTAAAAATATCATGTTACATTAACTAAAGAAACAGTAATTCCTTCATTGGGCAATTAGAAACCCCAAACAATACACAGTGCGGTTTTTGAAACCAATTCTCCCCACAGTAATATTCATCAATACTGTTTCTGTAACTGAGTCCTCTCACTTGCAAGTTAAATATAAAATGCTTCTTTAGCAACTCTATTAAAAAGGTTCTCCACATCCTAAGGTTGTTTCTGAGAAGTCAAGGCAACAGAAAAACTGAAACTACAAACCTCTTTCTTTTCTGGAGTTCTTTCCTTTAGCTGATACGAACTTCTTTTTCACTGACTGAGGCTGAGAAGAAGAATGCTCTCTCCACCTCCGAAGCTGGAAATTAATGAACTTCCACATCATAAATGCTTGAGTCATGCAGATAGAGGCCAGCACACTGATTCTAGAAACAGAACACAAGTGAAGTTTTATCAGTAAGTTTGTCACACATTAGAGTGATTCTTTCTAGATAACACAAATTTTTGTAAGCTCAGTTTTGTTCAGGTGTTGTTTTTTTTTTTTTTTTTTTTTTTTTTTTTTTTTTTTTTTTTTTTTTTTTTTTTTTTTTTTTTTTTTTTTTTTTTTTTTTTTTTTTTTTTTTTTTTTTTTTTTTTTTTTTTTTTTTTTTTTTTTTTTTTTGTTGGCAACTTCCAACCTGTCCTCCTAGTAACATCCATTTTCTAAGCCATGCAAGTGTTTGCTCCCACAGGGAGACTGGGCTTAAGCACAGATGATCAAAACTGGATATGCAGTAATAGTGAAGTCTTTGCCCATCAAAACTGGGAAGCATCAGGTTTCTTTCCTGCTTTTTCAGAATTACTCTCAAGGTACCAGGCAGCAACAGCTGAAAATGGTTGAAGTGTGTCTTGCCGTTCTGAGTATTAATTCTGCAGGGTGATGCTTACATTGTCAATGTCTCAATAGCTTTTCTAGATTTAATTCATAAGAAGGCCAGGTGATTGGCAGAACATTCTGCATCACGTAGCAACAACAGGAGCCATAACAACAACAGAGAAAGAGGCAGAAATCTTCAACCGGGACCAAAGAAGCTCTGGACATAACACCTTGACCTCTATAGATGGATTCTAGATATAACTGCAGTTAGTTTAATTTACTAACTCTAAAATATTTAAAATAAGTGTTTATAATTGAATATTCCTCTTAATTCTGGGTTTCTTTTGACACAAAAGTGTAACCAGTTACAGATTTGTCAGCTGTAGACTGCAAATAATTAATTTCATTTCACTGTGGCTTAAAAGTCTGTTACATAAACTATTCCCATTGGTCCCATTGGTTGCATGAAAATACTCAGTCTTTCAGAATTACTGGCATTAATACCATACCATTTATACTGTGTATCTAACATAGGTTTACAGTACATGCTTAAGAACTGTTCCAGGTTTACTATACCTAACAGCCAGGATATTAAAGTTTCCAGTACTGAAATTCAGCTGCTGATCTTCTGCTCTTGCTAGTCCAAAGCCAAAAGTGAGGACCGAGAGAATCAAGGTGAGAAGCCTTCCCAAAACAAAAAGAACTGCCCATAGTGAAAATCTAGAAATAAAAACAACACAAACACTAAATGAATTTTCCATTCAAAACACACGCACTAACAAGGCAAATGTTTACGCTTCACCATGCAAATTTGTTTGGAATATAAGAACTTACCTAAATTCATTTCCACATATTCCATGTGAGTCTTGCATTATGTTCTGAAAACTAATTTCAACTCAATGAAAAGTGCTTTCCAGTACTATTAGAACATATGCATATTCTTAATTCCTACAGCACTGGCTGTAGGATACTGAACCTATCCTGTTCCTTTCTCTACAAAACTTTTTAAAAAAAAATATTAGTACACACTGTGAGATTTTATTTCATTTTTATACTGCTACCAACATTTACTTAAATAGGCTAAAACAAGGATAAACCCCGAGTTTTTTAAGAGATGTAAGTACTAACATTATTCCGGAGAACTGTGGTCTCTAAGAAAAACTGTTTGAACTTCCTTGTAATTTTGGTTTCTGGTTAGTTGAATGCAAAAAGCTTTAGGACAGAAATTACATTACTTAAAAGATAAAAACTACTTACCCTTTCTGGTACTTTTCATCACTGAAGTAGAAAAGACGGGATATGTGGAAAAGAAATTCAACGAAGTAATGCAATACCAGAAGAACAAGTCCAAGATGGGTCAGACTATGAAAACAAATAAAACAAACATTCAGACATTTTGTTAGATGTTTAAGAAAGGGAATGAAGCCAGAAAAAGTTTACAATTGACTTACTTCAGGAGATAGGCTCCAGCAATATGAAAGAGGTAAAGTCCAATGTAGACAATCTGGCGAAAGATATCTTCCTGTTAGGAAGAAAAAAAATAACCATGACTTATACACAATGTTATACAATACTGAACAATATTATCTATTATTACTATTATTACTATTCCCTAGTCTTGGAAATTCTTCTTTGTTTATCAACTACCTTAGCATGGCCTGGTCTGGCCTGGCACTGAATTACTCAGCCTGGCTCACCTAATTCCACACATAACTTATTGCTTACTTAGCAATAATATTCAGAATCTTACACATACGCTATTGTGAGAAAATGCATCAAACATCACAAAGATGCTTTTTAAAAGGGTCCAGTTTTATTTGTTATGGCTCTTGTGAATTTGTACAAGCTATTACAATACTTATTTTGTATATATATATAACTGTATCATCAGCTCCTACATTTCCACCTGTTTGCTGCTTATCAGATGGTCAGACTGCTACAGAAATGAAAAAAAACCAGTCTACAAACCAAAACGAAAAGTTTTCCTAGTCTTGGCATTGTTTTTAAAAATTCAAGAACATTTGAAATTCTGGCACACTGTTGCTAGCAGATACAGAGAATAAAGTTATTAACCAGTCATGTTAAACCACATGGTCACACTTCAATTCAGGTTTTAGCCAGCCCCATTAAATTGAACACTTCATGGAGACAAAATAATAAAGAGGGAGACACATAGCATATGGAAAGCATATTGTGCCATCTGTGAACAGAGGAATCACTAAAGTATGCCAGATCACAATAAAAATCTCTTTTGAAGTGGTATGCAGAGTACGTTCAAGTTACGCTTAAGCAACTCCCATTTTTTGGAAAAATTCCCTAAACACTTGTGACACAGCAAGCATCACATACAAAGCACCATACACAAAGAGCAAGGAAAGAGATGAACAAAGACCTACTCCAAATTATTTGAAAGAAAACGAAAAAAACCTCCTTCTTTGAGAATAGTCAGTACAAACCGTTAGTTTCTTTAAGTACTACAAGGAGGAGCCTTTTACACTTGAACTTTAGAACTGAGGTAACATTTCAACAGCCTGTGCTGCCTGCTTAGACAAACTGGTAGAGACTATAGGCCTACTGGAATAATGCAACTGGAGAAACACATGACTATACAGAGGAACCAGAGTTAAGAACTTCTTCCCTTGTCTGTGTCAGCAATAAGGCAAGGAATAAGGCAAGGAAGCCAAGATGGCAGAGGTTAAGCCATGGTGAAAGAAATATCGACTATGAACTCGCTAAAACGAATGAACTATCACTCCTCAAACTTAATGCAAGAGTCAGAGGCCAAAAGTTCAAGTACTGACCCAATAAAACACTACTATTCATCATACGGCACTTAGGCCACTTGTGACAGTTTTCTTGAAGTTATGTTAAAAAAAAAATCTCCAGACTTGGCTATGAAGCTGAGAGGTACCATTAGCACAATATGGGAACATGAGCTGCAGTGCATCTGCAAAACAGTGTTTATACTGTATCAGATCAGCATAAAAACAATGCATCTAATTACTCTTTTACTAAGCCTCTTCTAGGCTCCTGAACAAAGACCTATGCTTACATAACACCTATGTTTCATTTTCTTGAATAAACTCTGGCAGCAGAGATACAGCCAAGTCACAAAGCAACAACAGTTACAGAATTGTTTGGGCTTGAAGAAGCATTTGTATATCATCTAGTCCAACCTTTCTACCACAGGCAGGGACTTCTCTCACTAGATCAGGTTTCTCAAAGCCCCATCCAACCTGAGCCTGAACATTTCAAATGAAGGGGAACACACAACTTCTCTGGGCAATCTATTCCAGTGTCTCACCATCTTCATCGTAAGGAAATTTTTTGTATCTATTCTAAACCCACCTACCCTCTTTCAGATTAAAATCCTTGCCCCTTGTCTTCTCAGTAGAGGTCCTGATAAAAAGTCTCTTTCCATCTTTCTTTATAAAGTCAGTAGAAATAGTGTTAGGCCACTAGTGTTAGGATCCTTCTCTTCTCCAGGCTGAACAACCCCAACTCTTTCACCCTGTCTTCACAGGAGGGGTGCTCCAGTCCTCTGTTCATCTTCGTGGCTCTTCTCTAGACCCGCTCAAACAGATTCATACCTTTCCTATGCTGGGAACCCCAGAGCAGGACACACTACTCCAAGTGGGGTTTCACCAGCGTGGAGTGGAGGGGAAGATCAACCAGCTGGTCACCACTTTTTATGCAGCCCAGGTTACAACTGGCTTTCTGATATGCAATGGTACGTTGCAGGATCATGTCCAATTTTTCATCCCCAGCACTCCCAAGTCTTTTGCAAGGCTGTTCTCAATCCATTCATCCCCAGCCTGTATTGATGTTGGGGATTCCCATAATCCAGATGCAGGACCTTGCACTTGGCCCTGTAGGACTTCACAAGGTTCACATGGACCCCGTACAAGCCTGTCAGGATATCTCTAGGTGGCACCCCTTTCCTCAAGCAAATCAACTGCAACACTCAGCCTGGTGGCTCCGCAAACTTGCTGAGGGTGCACTCGATCCCTTTGTCTGATGAAGATGTCAAACAGCACTGATTCCAGTACGGACCCTTGAAGAACACCGCTTGTTACTAGTTTCCACTTGGACACTGACTCACTGACTGCAACTCTCTGGAAGCAGCCATCCAGTTCAGCTCCTTATCCATCTAACAGTACATCCATCAAATCCATCTCCTTCCAATTTAGAAATAAGAATGCTGTGGGGGGACCCTATCAAAAGCCTTAACGGAGGTTCAGGTAGATGACAGCAGCAGCTCTACCCTCATCCGCTGATGCAGTCACTCCACCATGGAAAGCCACTAAGCTAGTCAAGTATGATTTGCCCTTGGTGAAGCCATGTTGAAGAGTTTAAAACAGGAAAGTTTAAGCAGAAAAATGTATATGCAAAAGGATCTTGAGCAAAAACATGCAAAGAGAGTAGTTAAATTGGTCAGGAAGGCAAAAAGTGTGCTACAAAAAATGTGAAGTGAACTCAGTGTTTTGAGAACTCAAACACAGAAAACCCTTAGAAAAAAAAAGGTTGCTATTAACAGCTGAGAACTGAAAAAAGTCTCAATACATAACTAATCTCAATACATCAACTACTAACATAATCAGAACTTGTGCAGAGGATAGTGGTATTTAAACCAAATCCCAGACTTAAATACCACTTTGATTTATAAAATTATTCACAGTTTATATTCTACACCTATATCATGATTCATGAAGTACTTGTGATTTCAATGAGACTATTCACACTACCAATTATGAGAAACAAAAAAAATGAGTTTGAAAAGAAAATCTCACATTCACTTCCTTAAGGGAAAATTCTTTCAGTAGATGAGAAACACTAGTAATTTTTATTTACACAACAGATATACAGCAATTTTACTGCAATTAGAAATACTTAAATATTCACTGCAATTAGAAACACTGAAATAAGTGAAATGAAAAAAAAAGCCCTTTCTCACATGGATATTTGAGCACCTTAAATTCCATCAAGAAAAGTGGGTAACACAAATTAGAACAGGGCAGGAAATCTAGGGTAACACATTACTCTGGAAGTTCAAAAGAAAATAACTACTCCACCGTTTGAGCTGCTTGCTCTGGAGTGCCTTCCATTTACATTTTGAACTTACTTTTTTAGTTTTCTGGAAGTACAGTTCTGGAAAAGCATGAAACCAATATGCCAACTGTAAGATGTAGAAAAACTTCATTTGAAACCTGTGCAATACAGTAAGAATTGAACGATATTACTTATTATGAAAGAAATTAAAACATTTCAGAAGCCTTCTAGTGAACCCATTTTATCACTGTCTCTTAAAGAAAGAACACATACACATCCTTCCTGCCAGTCAACTTTAAACTAAGATTTTAATAACCAAAATAATTAAGACAAAGCTTGCAAAAACTTAATTCTTTAAGAAACAGCCTACAGAAAGAGAACTTTGTATGCAAAGAATTGTCAAAGAATCAAGAGCCCACATAAATACAACCAAAAATGCATTAGTGACTAATATAGTTTTACAAACTACTTATTCTACATAAATTGTACGTGACATAGGCTAAGTTTAAAACACCCCCTCCTGTCTCCCAGCAATCCTCTAAGGAAAAGGTCTTACGGAATAAGAGTGTGTGGATAGTCCCTCCACAGAGAGGTTGGATCTGATATATAGTTCTCCTAAAAAAAGAAGAAAAAACAAACAACCAATCAAATCACGTGTTTGTTCAATACAGAATGACATGGAAGTTATTTCAGCATCTCTACAGCCATAAGTCTTCTCATGTAAACTGCTGACAGGCTTTGAGTTTAACTAAGAGAAGGAAAGTTTTTCCAGGAGTTATTATATTAAGGGGAAGGAACAAAAAAGATACTCTTCCCCTTCACATTCAGCCACTAGCTTTAACCTGAAAGGACACACTGACCTGAGATTACAGCCGTCTGCCCATATACCCATTCCCTAGGCTCCAAAAGGCTATGTATGGTGCTTTTGGAACATCTATTTTATGTTAATAAGCCATCACAAAAAAACTACAGAGATTTAAGTACCATAATAGTTAAATGGTTTTACCTTACTCTGTTCACAGTAAATCAACTCAAGACTGAGCAACAGCAATGCTACTGGGCTTTATACTCAGTTATGACTACAACCTATACAGAATTCTTAAACTTGTCCCCACTTTAAAATTAAAACCAGCTAAAACCAGAAAAATAAGCCAAAACCATATTAATCAGCAGTCTAAGGGAAGCTTTTGAAATAATTTTGAATAATACAAACAGAAGAGGAATCATACTTACAGAGACAAGAATACTCGTTCCCCAAACACAGGAGAAAAGGTAGAATGCACTAAGTTGCCCAGACTCATTGAACTTGCTATGCTTCGTTTTTGAAAAGTGCATTTTCCTGTTAATTTTCTGAAATGAAAATCCATTGTTATTTATACGCTGCAGTAGTTAACATTTACCTGGTAACTGCATTAGAACATCCATAAGTTTTAATGCATGTATTTACAGTTAAAAGCTTTAATGCAGAAGCTAACTTTTAAGTTAATAGTCTTAAGGTCTAATTGAAACCGGACAACTTTCTCGATGAAAGGAATTAATATTTTGTACTTACATCCAGTACGTACTCCTGAATTATAGCGTGTATGATTATTGCTACGAGCATGTAAAAGAAAATCGTAGCCAAGTCTTTGATGCCATAGTGATAGAGAGAGATTGTTTCTGCAGATTGTTCTTCTAAAAGGCAAACAGAATTAACTGTTAGGCACCAATACAGTTTAATGGTTAATAAGTTTGTTTCTCAGAGTGAAACCTTTCAGACAGAAGTACCTTGTAGTCAGCTGAACAAATAAAAGTGAAATTAAACTGCCACCATAAACTAGGTCACTAGATTGTTTATAGTTATCTTCTCCATCACACCATAAACTCAATTTGACTCTAGAAAGAGGTACTATAAAATGAAAAACTTAAGTGCACTTAGGAAGCTTACCCAAACACATTGAAAGCGGACAATAAAAACATGTTAAGCTATCACTCCACTTTGACTATATTGTCACTTGCAAACCCAAAGTAAGAATCTCTGTGAACTTATCTACCAGTCAGATTATGCCTTAGCACTAATGATGAACAGAACACTAATCAGAACAGAAACATTGTCTCTAACCTAATTAATTAAAATAGAGTTTTAGTAAAAATAGTGAAATCCTTGAAAGCTGCTTATTATCTATTCAAATTGACAAATTAACTTACTGTCAGTCTAGAAAGCGTGGCATACTAACAATGTCTGAATAGGCAGTCTCATAACTAACCTCCTGCGAGATACATACCTGTGGCAGGAATGGTAACATTATACTGAAGTGTAACAAAAATAACAGCTGCTTTTGCTGTAATCTGAAAGAGGAAAAGAAAGACATTCTCATGGAAATCAGCTACATTAAACTGAAGACATATGCCCATACTTTTAGCACGCTTGCCCAGCACATTTGTCCCCTCCCAAAAAAAGGATCACATTATCACAGTGCTTCACCTGACTTTTCAAAGGCAGCACACACTGCCTGGTCTCTATAGATTTGTTTACAGAATACCAAACCTCCTGAATGAAATATCCTTGAAAATGCCACTTACAAATAGTCTTTCCTACAACACTAAAATGAAAACATGCTACAATTCTTTCCTCAGTCACTACTGTATTCTTACATTAACAGAGTGTACAATATCATGGAACCCCTAGATCATGATGCATTCAGCAATGGCTGGGAATAAACTTTAGTTAACACTTTTTTTTTTTGACAAAATTTGGAAGTCAATTATCATATTCATAAATCTGTGAGCGATCTGAAAAATGTGGACAGGGAAGGAAAAAAGCATAAAGAAAAGAAAACCATTTCAGGCCAGTGGCATACCAACTCAATACAATTAGCATTCTTTTGACCTTGGGGATCCTTTGGCAAGATGTGTAAAACAAATGAGATTAAATTTAGCAGTAGTGGTACTATCTCTTTATGACTGGCTGTAAGAAAAAGCAGAATGAATAAAAGCAATTTGGAGGGAGGATGTTTGTCCTAATGGCTTTTTTTCTGGGGGTGGAGATATTCCAAAAACCCTAGTAAATAAGCAGGAGTACAAGTTCTTATTTGCCAATAAGTGTCTAACGCATCTTTGTTCAATTCCAACACAAATCAACATGTCTTAACTGAGAAGGAAAAATAATTGTGCTTTACAACAATATTTGTGATCTGATAGCTTTTCACTGCTGTAAAAACCTAGCGTCTTGTGGCATTTATAGGGCCGAAGAAAAAGAACTCACTCTTTTATGAATCCTGGAAGGATACACTGAGTATCTGAAAATAATTATTAGGTTACTTCCAGTATTAATTATCATTCACTGGAAATGAGAATAATTTTTAAAACCAGCGCTTCGTCAACAAGCCCTAGATTTTCTACGAAACCCTGAACACATGGCAGACTGTTCAGTCCATGTAACGTCAGGGTATCCAACCAGTTTGCCTAAATTAGTGAGGTCACCTCGGGCTCCCTATTCATCAAGGGAGCCCTCAGAGGACAATTCAAAACACTAGTGAATTCTGAACTGCCCTTCGAAGCTCTGTCAGCAACCCTCAGTACTAATTCAACAGCACAAGTCAGGCAGTATAACACCTTTCCATACCAACATCAACCATAGCAGGTGATTTCCAAGACTTATATCAAAGCATTAAAAAAATTGCAACAATCTTCTCAGCCACACCACATCTGTACCAACACAGATATAAGGCCTCTCTATACCAGGGTAGAAAAAGCACTGGTTAAAAAAACTGGAAACAAAAGAATTCAGAATACACCCAAATCCCACCCAAAACTTCCAACTCTACCAATAATATTGTTAATACAGTTAAGTCTGAAGTAAGGTATAAAAGGTAAATATTCAGGTCTACCTCTTTAATGTCATTCCCCAGAAAACCACCATATTGAGGCTGTCTTGGTGATTTCTGATAGCAAACTCAAACATAACACCTTTGTTGGTCTGCCCTGTTTTTACTTTTCATGTGCATATATATATATATGTGTGTGTGTGTGTGTGTATCTGGTTTTCCTAACTCCACTGGGCCTTAGTGCTGAGCAGTACCAATGGCTGGATAAAACTATTCTGAAAACCACCCACATAACAAAAAGGTCCATAGCCCTAAACAAATGCCTAAAATAAAGCCCAAATACATGTCTAAAAAAAAAAGTATAAAATAACAAAAAGCCAGAAACATTCAGCCAATGAAGTGTCTTACTCTGATGATCAGTGATCTTAAGTCTCAGTGGTCTTAAGTCTCAATGATCTCAGCCTCAGTGACCTCAGCTCACTAACATCATTTTGGCAGTCACACAGGTAAGCCACCTTTTCAGTTCTCTCAGGAGGTAACCGAGAAGAGCCAAAACCGCACGTTTTAAAACATCTGCATTCAACATGGGGGCCCAGAGAGCGCCTGGCCTGCAGCGGGGCCGGCCCTCAGGCCGAAGAAGAGAGAGCTCCCCTCTGCCGCTGCCAAACCTCGGCCCATCTCCGAAGCGGGAGGAGGTAGCGGAGGGTGACCAGCGCTATCCGAGCGGCGCCTGGAGCCACCCGGAGCGCCGGGATGCTCCGCGGGCGGTGCGGGGCCGCGGGCGGTGCGGGGCCGCGGGCGGTGCGGGGCCGCGGGCGGTGCGGGGCCGCGGGCGGTGCGGGGCCGCGGGCGGTGCGGGGCCGCGGGCAGGGGGACCCGAGCGCTGCTCTAAGGACACGTCACCGCTGCCTTCCCTTCCCGCCGCGCCGCCCGACGGGAGCCGTAGTGCCGGCGGGGCTCGGCGGGGCCGCCACACAAAGAGCGGGGGATCGGCTGTGGCGGCCGGGCCTCGCCCCCCGCCCCCTCCTCGCCGTGCCGCGCACTCCTCCTCCCTCTCCCGGCTGCCACGTAACCCCGCCGCCCGCAGGAACTCCCCGCCGCCGCCGCCACCAAGGGAAGCAGCGCTCCGACCCGCTGCCCGGCCCCGCACGGCCTCCATCCCTCCGGGGGCGGCAGAGGGAAGCGGGACTCGGGTGCTGGCGGCAGCCGCACGCTGCTCCGAGCCGATCCGGGGAAGAGGGCGTTCCCCCGGCAGAGCGGGGATGCAGCGCAGGGAGGGCGCCCGCGCTGGCGCCCGGGCCGTGCGGCGGGGCGGCAGTCAGCTCCTTTCCCGCGCACACCGTGGGCCGGCGGGCAGGTGCGCCAGGAGGCGGTGGCGCTGGCCCTCGCTGCATCGGGACTCCCGCGCCCTCCCGCTCCCTCCCTCCCCTCCAGCACGGAGAGCACCCGGCGGAGCAGGGGGAAGCGCGACGAGGACCCCGGGCGGGGGCGTTGGTGCCGCCTCACCTCGAACATGAGTCCCAGCAGGAAGATCATGGCCATGCAGGACACGATGTCCGCATGGTTCTGCACGATGAACTCGTGGCTCAGCACCGGCGGGTTCTTGTTGCTCTTCTTGCGGATCGCCATGGCGGGCCGGGAGCTGGGCGCCGGCGCCGCCGCCTCCCCGCTGCCAGCACAGCTCCGCTCGCCGCGGCCAGGAAGAGGCGGAGGGGGAGGAGGTGGCCGCGCAGCCGGGGAATGGCACGGCCGCCGCTCCGCTTCCCCCTCTCGCAGCGCCCCTGCCGGCCGGCGGCGCCTCCGCCCGCGCTCCGCCCACCCGGGGGCGGCCCCGGGACGCGGCGTGGCAGGGACTCGTCAGCAGAGCCGAGCCGAGCCGAGCCGTGCCACCTGGGCAGGGGTGCTGCGTCCTTGGCAGCACCGGCCGGATACTCGCTGGCCGTAGCCCGAAACCCTCGCGGGGCACCGGCCCAACTTCACTCTCCCAGCGAGGTAGCGGCGACAGAAAATGACTGGGGGTCCCGCCGGGGTCGCGACCTAACAGAGCGGTCTGCCCCCGCTTCGGGCTGTGCCGCGGAGCCGGGCCGGACTCCACTCCCTCCCGGCACCCCCGCCATCCAGGTTCACTTTTTTTTTTTTTTTTTTCACTCTTCTTTCCCGAGGCTAAGCTTGGTTGTCACCAGACCCCCGCCAGCTGTAAGACGGGCTCCTGGAGGGTGCAAGAAGGACGCCGCGCTGGTCGGGCTCGTTCTGGGCACGGCCGAGGCGCAGCCAGCGGTCCCGGTGTCACCAGGCCGGCAGCGGCTCCCGCCGCCCCTCTGCTCACACTGTAGTGTGCAGCCAGAAACAACAAGCAATATGTTACAATGACAGTAACAACGAATCCAAGAAAGGAGAGGGAAGAAAAGCTAACCGAGAAGTATAGAAGAAAAGAGACATTAACAGGGATACTAGAAATAGATTAAAAAAACAACCCGGTCACAGGAGGCTCTTGCCTGTTTTAAAGGGATGAATGAAGAGGTCTGAGAAATCACTGATGTGGAAGACATCCAGGCTGAATTCAGCTGTCCTTCATCCCCTCCAAAATTCATGCTATGTTTATTTATTAAAGCTTCTGGGTGGCAGATACTCCCCATGGATATATGGAAAAGAAAGATCAAGAAAATGACTAATTTATAGCTGAAATTTAGTGTTGTCAGAACGGCTTTTGCTGCCAGCAGCTAATGAATACAGTGTAAGAAATTAGGGTAAGAAATTAAGGTGCAACTGTTTCATCAGTATTGCTTTGCCTTGCCAGAATTGAGAGCATGAGTCAAATATATTGTATGAGATGTTGGTAATAGGTTCGTTTCTTCCTACTGTATGGAGTGGTGACTCATGGACCAGACTGATATCCACGTTTTTCAACTATAAAACATCTTCATCAGCTGTGTAGATACTTGGAGGTTTCCTCTGAATTTCATAAAATCATCAGACAGATATAATTGGTGTCTGGAGATGATCTAGGATACTTAAAAATACAGAAAAGGCTACAGAAAAATTTCCTTTCACAGCTGTATTTTTTTTTTTAAGCTTAAACAGAAGCAGCATTCATATTTCAGTCCCAAGATGTTTTATACCCTAGAAATCCCTTAATCCCCTGGCTACACTAGTATTTTGTTACTCTAAAGTAAGCAGAACACTATTTCAACAATAGCAATGTGAAAGTATATCCCCGATGGCATACAGTGTAGTCATGGATGTAACATACTGCACCTGTGAAATACACTGGGCTGGGATAAAAACGAATCCTTTTTTGCAGTATGTCTGCATCTATTTCCCACTTCAGACTTAAAAGAAATCAGGTCATCTCATCTCCACAGAACGCAACAAACAGGACTTAACTGGGACAAGACGTGCTTTCCTCAAGCTGTAATCAGCAAGTGCCTTGAGCATTTGGCTGGATGTCCTGTCATACAGTCACCGAGACCCTTGGTTTCAGCTTGGCTTTGTGTTTGTCCTGATGATACAGTCTATACTGAAATGGAAAACATGGCAACCTGTCGCCTCATCTGAAGTTTCCACACCTTCCTTTTATCTGAAGTTCTCTCCTCTGCCACATGAAGTTTCATATGGCTGTCTCGGCCATCTAAAATACCAGACAGACAGCCCTCACTCTGCTTCTTGCCAGTAGGTGGCTGGTCTGTGTTTGCCAGGTTTCTTTCCAGATATCCATGTTTTGCAACACTAGGCTTCAAAATGGTCACATGATTTAGGAAGGAAGTTCCCTACCACCTGAAACAGGGGAAGCCACTAGCACCCGTGCATGTGTGTGCTCAAAACTCCACCAAGGAAACCAAACAGAGGTGGCAAGACTGTGGAGACTTCGGGAGGAAGAGTATTATAGCACCTGCAGTTGTAAGACATAAACAGAAGAACACTCTTCCTATTTGGGCACCTTTCCTGAATTCACTTGTCATCAAACATGCTTAAAGATAGAACCAAGATCAACTCTAAAAGAAGTCTAAATAAGCAAGTAAGTAAGAAACAGAATTAACAAGAAACCCCCAAAAGGCTTTAACTACCATCAAACTTCTCACCTAGGTCTTAAACCTAATAAATGATGCAATCTCTCAGGACAGAATCTTCACGTTAGCTGGCAAGAAGGCTAGAAACACAACTTGTGCTTCCTCCAGTTTCTGTCCTCAGCTGTTTAGAAAGTTAACACAGCAATTGACATTTGCCCTTCTAGCCTGTTGAGACAGAAATTGCTGCTTCTCTTGTTTTTATCTGTAACTTCCAATGCATTCTGCACAGATGAACATATTCACATAAGGGATGTGAATAGGCTAATCCCCATTTTTATACATACATAGCCTATAGCTTACATTACCACCGTTTTTAAATAAACATTCCATCTGACAAAATCAACAAGGAGTCTTGAGACCCTTACAACACGTCATAGCAGATGTAAGCACCCCTTACTACATTACATCTTAGTAACAGTGCAAACTCTGCTCTTAATATTTCAAAGACAATACACAATCATTAATGACTTGTCTGGTTAAACTGCCCTTTCCCTCATTCTTTTTTTTGAAGATGTCAGGCATTTGTTGCAGCACAGCATAGAACACGAAGTTTTCTGATTTGTATCCTCTTGCTCTCTTCGCTGCCTGCAAGTTCCAACAATTCTTTAATGGGATTCTAAAGCCTTTTCCCTGTATTTTAAAACTTATAGTAAAACAGAAAAAGGGTTAGGCAGCATTAGAATTCTTTAGATTAAAAAGAGAATGAGATATCACCTCTTCATACTGCTTTTCTGTTTTAGGTGCTCAGACCTCAGAACAGAAAACTGTGTCATTTCACTGATATTTCTGTTTTCCTGAAGCAAAATGACATAAGAGCATGTGATTTTTTTTTTTTTTAAAGAAAGTAGTGATAGTTATGCTTTTATTCCTAACATGGAAAAGATAACTACAAATTCATGAAATAGCTACAGGAGAACTAATTATTAATGGCAAGAAGCCCCTGAGAAAACTTCTCAGTAACTATGAAGAGACAAAGAATCCAAAAGGAATTGAAAAAAAAATCTTTGTACAGGGAAGAAATAAAAAGAATCTGAAATGGAAAAATGCAAGTAAACAGAAGATACAAGAGAAAGGAAAACTAGGACACTTGAAAAAGACCTCAAAACAGCACTGCACCAAAAGTTAAAAGTGAGTGCATGTCATGATGTGGCCAAAAGTCAGATCAATTAAATTTGCAAAATGCATTATTTTAGCAGAAAGTAATTATTTCCCTTCTGAAAGGGTCTGGCTGCTACTTCAGAATATGATTTCAGTTTTGGATGCTGTTCTCGGGACTTTTTTGTTTTGGATTTGTCCCATCTGATCAGAACAAATGCCATCAACTTCATAAAATAATGCTAATTATGATGACATGCCTTTACATATCCAAACATACTCATGTTTCACAAATGAGGGTACAGGATTGAATGGTGAAAGGTTTTAAGGGACATATATTTGTCTGTGGTAGTTTCAAAACATTCCATATCTGCTTTCATTTTTTAGGGTTGAACCAACACTAAAAGAAGTGTATGTATCAGTAAATCCCACACACTTTGAACACACAAAATAATGCAAATATTTATACACTATTCTTCAGGTGTAAGCTACACAGAGAACTCACAGTTTAAATTAATCATCATTGTATTTTAATACACTATACAGTATCTTACAACCAAATACAACCTTTAGTTAAAATATTTGTAATTTAAGTGGATTTAACAGGAAAACTTGAGGACTGTTAGCTATGGTGTAACAGACAAGGTTAACTTCATATGGTGTGTAATACATATCTCAATTGATATAGATTTTTAATCACATTCTTGCAGAATCTTAGAAGATAAAGAATTTAAGATCCTACTCCAACTCTGCATTTTTGACACTGGTTAGTTAAAATTACTGAATCCTCTGAACGAATTCCATAGAAATAGTGTTTCCACCAGAAAACAGAGAAGCCTGAAATTACTTTCAGTGTTTGTTAAAACCTATAGCAGTGAGCAACCAGGAAAGATAAGCACAGTCAGCTAAATTAGAAAAGGAACATAACCCCCAGTATTTACATTTATTAATAGAAATAACTTGGTTTTTTAGAATGTACAGATAAATTCACAAAAAAAGTCACTTTTTGAGAAGCACTAGCAAATGAAAACAGGTTTAGAATAACATATTTTCTTTTTGCTAGAGATTTTTGATATATCTGATTTATAAAGTTTATTATATTTCTTTATGATATTGTAGTATTAAGTTCATAAGACCTTGCTATTTGTCTTCTGCCACCGATGATGAAACCGGGCATTTTGTAACAAAGGTAAGATTTAGTTCTTCACGCTCATTCCATTATATTAACTCAGTACCTATCAGGATATTTTTAAAATTCCTATGAAGTACAATATGAAAAACATCAGTTAATTGACTGTAACATTGCTTTAAAACTGTGTTACTGATTTTTAAAAAAAAAAGTAAAAATAAGTTTTTACTTTACATATAGGCTGAGCTCATCATTATACTTTTTCATAGAGCAATTGTGCAGATTAAATACATTCTTGAGCAATCTTGTTTAACTTATAAATTGTTTTTCCATCTGAAGCTGGGAGTTTCATCACGTACTGTTAAGAAATAAAAGGCTAAATTAGTCACAAATCAACACTTAGATTCTATTTATAAACATTAGACTATCTCAAACTTAAACCTGTACATGCACATATATGTC